TTTGTCTACTTTTGTTTGTGTGGTTTTCAAAATGTTTTGTAGTCTGTGTATTCCCTGAATTAGTTGGACAGTTTTATTTTTGATAGGATTTTCTAAGACTACTTAAATCATACCTTGCTGTTTATAAAGTTCTTTCCTACTCAGTTTCTTATCTGAGCCTCACAACTCTGTAAGTCAAAAAGAGCATGCAGTCTTCCTTTTTATCAAGTGGAAAAGTTACAATTAGAGAAGGTAACTAATTGTCTTGGGCTCATAAATTGAAATGAGGATTCGAGTTTAGATCTTTTAACTTCAGATTTAGTGACAGCCAATAGAATATCTATCTAATCTTCTTTAGGTCCACCTGTTTATTAAACAAATATTTGTTAAATGCCTATTATATGTCAGACACTAGGCTAACTGCCAGAGATCCATTGGAGAATAAAATCAATTCTTTCCATTAGGAAACTAAAAGAAAATTTCAAATTGATCAACTCTTCTCCCTATCATCCCCACTCATCCGTCAGTGTGTCATAGTGGGGTGGGTTGCATGTTGCAGTAATGTTGGAACGTGTGCCGTTGGTGTATCAAACACTGGCATGGTCACCATGGTGGAGAGGTTTCAGCAGAGCTTCCAGCCTAAAAAACAGAATAGGAAGAAGGAATAGGCAGTTCTCTTCAGAGAAATTATCCCCTGAAAAGCTTATTATTGTTGGTGATAGTGCTTGAAGATGTGTCCCCCAGGTTGGAAGGCACTCAAAATATGGTTGGGGAAGAGCTGCCTCCTCAAAGTAGAGTGGATCTTAGTTATGTAAATGAAGCAAAGTTTTTGAGACCTTCATTTGCTGATGGTGTGCAACTCAACAAGAGAAGAAACAGCTGTAAATATCCATTAACAATCAAAACATGGAATGTATAAAATATGAGTCTAGGAAAATTGAAATAATCAAAAACAAACACATAAAGTTGCTATCCTAGGCATTAGTGAGCTGAAATGGACAGGTATTGGCCATTTAAAATCAGAAGTCATATGATTTACTATGCCAGGAACAATAAATTGTTGTGGAATGGTGTCACAGTCATCATCATAAAGAACATTGCAAGGGCAAAGGTAGTTCTGCTCTGTCTTACAGAGTTACTATGAGACAGAATTGACTCTACCATGGTGGGCTAGGTTTAGTTTTTTTTTTTTTAGTGATACTGCATTTGGGTGGCTCAAAATGCCCCAAATTTGACTTGTCTGAGGCTAAATTCATCTTCCCTCCAAATGTCTCTCCATATGTATTCTGTATCTCAGAGAATGACTTTACTATTTATTTAAGAATCATGAGACTATTTCCTTTTCTCTTGCTCTTCATATCTATCAATTAGCATGTGAATTTCATTCAAATTGGTCTGCTTATTTCCAGCTTTATGTCAGTTCAGTCTGTCATTACTTCTTACCTAGAACAGTGCAGTGGCTTTCTGCCAAGCATTGCTCAATAGAAGTTTGTTTGGTGATGATGGAAATGTTGTATATCTGTGTAGTCCAGTAAAATACGGCCGCTACTAACTATGTGGCCATTGAGTACTTGAAATCTGGCTTGTGTTACTAAAGAACTGAATTTCAAGTTTTATTTTTTTAATTACTTTTGATTTAAATAGCTACATTTAGTTGTTGTTGTTGTTATGTGCCATCGAGTCGGTTCCGACCCATAGCGACCCTGTATAGGGTTTCCGAGGATGTAAATCTTTACGGGAGTAGAAAGCCTCATCTTAGTTAGTGGTTACTATATTGGGTAACACAGAACAATCTTTTTACTTTTCACTTCTTTTCCTTTTCCCCATTTACCATACCAATATATTTTTCATAGTGATGATCAGGACAGCCCTTCTGTAATAAACACCTGATCCTGGTATACAGAAGCTCTCCACCAGCATGAATCTTCAGTAAATTCCCATATATGCCAGAATGAAGTGTATAATCCCACAGCATCCCTTTCTTCCCAGTGTTACTTATTCCTCTCTAGCATCTTTCCAGATATCAGCTGTGTTTAATAGTGTGCAGTTTCCTGAGTGTGTTATGTGCTTTATTTTTCTTGTACACATTTGTTTTGAAATAATTTTAGGCTGATAGGAAGTTGCAAAAATAGCATGTGGAGTCCCATATGGTCTTCACCCAACTTTCCTTCATGGTTGCCTCTTAGGTAACTAGTGTAACCAGAACCAGAAGAAACTAGGAACCAGAGAGTGATACTGTCAACTAGACTAGAGACCTAATTCAGTTTTGACATGTACTCATGGGTGTGTGTGTTTCTGTTGTTGATATTAACTGTTGTCAAGAGGAGCAGCTGGTGATTTTGAACCACTAACCTTGCAGTTAGTGGTCCAGTGCTTATCCTGCAGCACCACACCAGGATCCCTAGGGCAGATTTGTGTGGCTAGCATTACAGTCAAGCTCCAGTACTGTTCCATTATCACAAGGAGCCCTGGCAACCACTAAGCTGTTCTCCATATGTCACTTCAACAATATTTTGAATGGAATCATCTAGTATACAACCTTTGGAAATTGGCTTGGTTTGCTCAAGATTGTTGCAGTGCCCTGCTGTTTTAACCTTCCTCATTTCTGCATGTGCTAGTCCTTCTGACATATCCTCATCCTTTGAGAGTAAGCTCACTTTTCATTTCCTTGTTCATCTTGGTGTAAGTTTGGTGCTCTCACCCATTTTGGGTGTTACTCTATTTTTTTGTTTTTTTAAAAAAATTATTTAATTTGTTGTTGTTGTCGAGAATACACACAGCAAAACATACACCTATTCAACAATTTTTACAAGTAGTATTTAGTGACACTAATTATGTTTTGCAAGTTGTGCCACCATTCTTATCCTCCTTTTCTGAGTGGCTCTCCATTAACATAAACTCACTGCCCCTTTGTATTATCAAACATACTGCTGTGGTATTTTCATTCACTTCATATGATTGCAAAATCTGGACAATGAATGAGGAATTATTGATGCCATTGACTTATGATATTGGTGAAAAAATATTAAATATACTGTGGATTGCCAGAAGATTGAACAAATTTGTCTTGGAAGAAGAATAGCTAGGGTATTCTTCAGAAGTGAGAGTGCTGAGACGTCATCTCATGTACTTCGTGCATGTTATCAGGAGGGACCATTTCCTGGACAAGGACATAAGTTTTGGTAGAGAGTCTGTGATAAAGAGGAAGACTCTCAAGGAGATAGATTGACACAGTGGCTGCAACAGTGGGCTCAAACAACAACTGTTACGAGGATGGTGCAGCATTTTGCTTTGTTGTACATAGGATTGCTAACAACACTAAAACTGCCCCCTACGGTTCCTATGTAATCTTAAGAGTTGCTCTTGTCAATGTGACCCCATATAGAGAGTTTTTAAAAGAGCATAATACTCACAGAGACATTTTTCATGAATTAAACTAGACTACTGTTTAGATGGAGTCCTGGTGTGGCGTGTGGTTTAATGCGCCAGACTGCAAAGCCATTTGAACTGCATGGTCGGCGGTACAAGCTCACCAGTCACTCCTCGAAAACCCTATACAGGGTCGCTATGGGTCAGAATCAACTCGACGGCACTTCACAACAGCAACAACTGTTTAGATGACTCTGCTTTTATCCTACTTTTTTGTGATTAGGTTTTCCATTCACTGTCTTCCCCAGTAGACAATGAGTAATTCCCGTAATCAGAAATTTCATCCCTCTACCTCCAGTGCTTTGTTCAGTGTCTGGTACATAGAAGGTGATCAGTAAATAATCAGTTGATAAGTATGTTGTTGAAGCATTCTTAGTGAACAGCTCACTACCTTGTATAGGACTAATCATTCAATGAGTATTTCTTAAAGAATAACGTTTGATTACCTTATTTTAGGGAACAAGGGATCCAATTTGTGCCATAACTGCATCTGATAAGACATTAATAGTGGTGAGTTGTAAAACATTTATTTTATGTATGGTGGTGGTGGTGTGCCATGGAGTCGGTTCTGATTTGTAGTGATTCTGTATAGGGTTTCTGAGGCTGTAAATGTTTATGGGAGCAGAAAGCCTCATTATTCTTCCACAGAATGGCTGGTAGTTTCAAACTGTTGACCTTGAGTTTAGCAGCCTGACTCATAAACACTACGCTGCCAGAGCTTCTTTGTATTATTTTATGAATAATAATCTTTAAATTATAAAAATACTGTCATGTGTTTTGGATTTGAGTATCATCTTGTTCATTTTATCAAGTCTCATGGAGTCCTAATGTGGTGCTGTAGTATAAGCACTGGCCTTCTAGTTGATGCTTCAAACCTACCAGCCACTCATGGAAAACCTTATACAGGGTCACTATGAGTCAGAACTGACTTCATGGCACTTAGCAATAATAGCAACAATATAAAAAATGAGAAGAGTTGAAAGAATGTGATAGAAATTGGTTTTCATTTATAAAAAATAGCTGTTTGCAGAAGTAATGGGTTGGTGGCCAGCTGAGAAGATAAAGTACGCTTAGAAATGGTAACATGAGTTGGGAGTGGGTGAGATTGGATTAGATTGGGAGTGGTTGATTGGTACAAGTAGGTCTTGAGGAGCTCTGGTATCTCTGTAGGATAAGCAATGGACTGCTAACCACAAGATTGGCAGTTCAAACCCCCCTGCCACTTATCAGGAGAAAGACGAGTCTTTCTGCTCCTGTAAAGATTTACAGCCTCGAAAACTGGGAGCCACAACCGACTTGACAGCCCCTAACAACAGCAACAGTAGATCTTAATAGAGTGTTTTACTCTATGTGGCCTACTATTTTACATCAGAGAAAGTACTTCCATTCTGCCACTTTCATAAGATTTACAGTCAAGAGAGGGTGTGCTTGCCAGTCAGTAAAAAAACCCATGGCAAGCTTTTGCTGCATTTTTCAAGTAGAATCAGTGTTATAGATTCTTTCCTTGAGTTTTGGCATTTGAAAATATTAGTTTTACAAATAGATGTTTTCTTTAAGACAGGCGCAGTTTGGATGATATAAACAGAACCTTAATAGTGAATGTATAATCCTACTTCTTGTTATGTTCCTTTTGTTATTAGCCAATTTTATGGAAAAAAATAGTTTATGAGCATAGAAATTGTTTTTCATCATTAAGTGAATTTGGTGTATGTTTTAAACATTTTATATCATAGTTAAACCTACAGAATCTCCTGTTTTCTTTTTTGACGTATGGCAAGGTTGTTATTGTGTTAGTTGTACTTTTGGCATTTGAAAACAAAACTAAAATAAAAAATAATCAAAAATAATTTTCATAGGGTCGTGAATCTGGCACTATTCAGAGATACAGTCTTCCTAATGTTGGTTTGATTCAAAAGTATTCCCTTAATTGTCGAGCACACCAGCTATCCTTGAATTGCAACTCTAGGTAAGCTTGAAATCTCGTCTCACATAGATGGTAGACTTAGAAGTTATTAAAATTGCTAGATTTATATTATAAATGTAAAGATGTGTTTAATTTAAATTTGTCCTACAGTTAATTGTGGTCTAACTATCTTTCGGTTGGTTTAAATGTCTTTCTCTGATTAGACATATAGGAATACTTGTGTAATATTTTACTCTTAAAGTTTGAATATTCAGACAGTTTATATTTGTATATCAGTGGATTAAATCTCTTTGGAAACAACTTCTTTACAAGGAAACAAAATGGAGAATAATCCATGTATTCTGTTCCATGTATACAAGAACATTTTAAGCCATATTTTTATTATAAAGCCATTTCTACCTTATTTCCATGCTTCTGATAAACTGGAAGAAGAGTGTTTATAGGTAATTCTATTTGTAATTACTAATAGTCATTTTACGTTTTATTCCCTCTTATCCAATTTCATTATTTTTAGTCGTCTTGCTATCATAGACATTTCAGGAGTTCTGACTTTCTGTGACTTGGATGCTCGGGTAACAGACAGCACAGGACAGCAAATAACTGGCGAGTTGTTAAAATTGGAACGAAAAGATGTCTGGGATATGAAGTGGGCCAAAGATAATCCTGATTTGTTTGCAATGATGGAGAAGACAAGGATGTATGTTTTCAGAAACTTGGATCCTGAGGTAAAATCTTGAAATGATTGTAAATAATACATAAGTAATGACCCAAAATGTCAAAACTTGGATATTTTCCCTTTGTTTTGTTAAGACTTTTATTGGTGTTGGCTGCAAGAATTTCTGAAAATAAATAGAAACATTTCTGTGGCATTTTAAATATTTGGTCTTCTAAATATCCCGTACTTTCTCTGAAAGGCACTTTCTAAGTACCTACCTTTTTTTTATTAAAGATAGGACCAAGATAAGTGTTTGGTCCTTTTTATTCTTCCCTTGCCTAAATCATTTAAAAACATATAATAGCCATATTTACTGAAATTTCTGAAATCAATCTAGCAAAGAAAAAGAAAATGTGATTTTGAAATTGCCTTGTCCGTTTCATGCTCCTTGCCTGTCTATTAACCTTACTGGTATCCTGGTGTGGTACTCTGTGATTAAGCACTGGACCACAAGTTCGGTTTGAACCTCTAGGTCAACAGTTCAAATTCACCAGCCCTACATGTAGGGTCACTATGAGCTGAAACTGACTTGACAACATTTAACACCCACAACAACATCAACCTTATTATATACTCATTGTGACCTGTTTAGATTATATTCGGTCTGTCACCCAGTAGTCTGTGTTCTTTCTTACCCAGATATTCAGAATATGCCTGTATGGACTGTGATTACTCTATTCTCCCTTGGGTTGTTCCAGATTGAATGGTGTCCCCCCAAAATATGAGTTGTAATTGCTAACCTCTATGCCTGTGCTAGGAGCCCTAGTGGCCCTATGGGTTAGGCATTGGTCCGCTAACTCAAGATTGTTAGTTCAAACCAAGCAGTCACTATGAGAGAAAAAGAGGAGGCTATCTGTTCCCACAAAGATTTGCAGTCTTGGAAACACAATATAAATTGCTATGAGTCAGAATTGACTTGATGGCAGTGAGTTTTTGGATTATGTCTGTGTTTAGGATAAGCATTCGACTGTAAACCACAAGGTCCATGGCTCAAGCCCTCCAGCCGCTCTTCAGGAGAAAGATGAGGCTTTCTATTCCTGCAAAGCTTTTTTGTTGTTGTTAGGTGCCATCGATTAGGTACCGATTCATAGTGACCCTATGCACAGCAGAACAAAACACTGCCCGATCCTGGGCCAACACCACTACTGTTGCCACGCTTGAGTCCATCAATGCTGCCACTGGACCAGTCCATCTCGTTGGGGGTCTTCCTCTTTTTCTCTGACCCTCCACCTTACCAAACATGATATCCTTCTCCAGTGACTGGTCCCTCCTGGCAATATGTCCAA